TTATTTATTTATTTATTTATTTATTTATTTATTTATTTATTTATTTATTTATTTATTTATTTATTCGGTTGTTGTAGCACAAGATGTAGGTAATAATGGTATCGTGTGATATTCGCGGGCTTCTGTATTATCTCTTAACTGACAGGAACGAGTCACACGAGTCCATATATGCGCTGTTGTGGTGACTGTTCGGCCGCAATGACGCACTCTTTTCCAAAGTGATTCCGCTTGTCCCAGTTAACTTAAAACAAAAAGCCTTAAGAAGACAGGAAAATTGTTTAATTTATTAAATGTCTTTAATCCACCAGCTTTCCTATAATGCGCGACAATGATTGACATTGAAAGTTAGGCTCTGCACACTTACGAAAGAAATGAACTTCGTCCATAGGCATCCAATTTATGATGGGCTATCGGACTTTAAATTATCAAATTCCTCCTTTTCCAAATTTTGAAAAATATTCAAATATTCACAAGTGGTTTTCCTTCCTCTCCTCACCTATTTGGTCTTCGAATACTGAATGTTTAAACATTAGTCTAGTTATCTTTTTTTATGTTTATATAAAGTATTAAACCAATCAATATTAAAATCATTTTTTTTCCTTTTTGCAAAAATTAAAGCTTAAAAATAACACAACCTTACTTCTCCATGTATAAATGTACAAGATTGTTGGAGGCGTGGTGACTGGTGCGGCGACATCTGTGGGGAGACCATTCCGAAGCTTAAAGCTTGTTCAGGCTGTGTCACGTTTGCCGATATATAGGTCGGCTCTTCATCTCACCATACAATATGGGGATACAGCTGTACCTCCATTGTGAAAACACTCTCTACATTAACGGGACTAATGACTGTATTTACTAGACTGTCAGGGTGACGCCGCGTCCATGGCAAAAGTGCTGACGTTTCGGTCGCCATACTGCGTTCTTCCTCAGGGCGTAATGCTGAGGAAGGTCGCAGAATGGCGACCGAAATGTCGGCACCTTCGCCATGGACACGGCGCCACCCGGACAGCCTAGTAAATACTGACTCCGGCCGCGGAAGTCTACGCTCTCACGGGACTAATCACCGCAGCATGCCCAGCAACATCCGTCAGTCAATCAATGTGTCTAACGATGTGAAAGGTCATTTCTATTCTGTGGGTGACTGTTGCCAGCCGTTCCTCACCCGCTGCGCGTGTGTGTGTGCGCAGGCGGCCCACCGCAACAGCGAGCGCACGCGTCGCCACAGCGTGTCGGTGCCGGCGGCGGAGCTGGTGGGGCGGAGCGCGGGGTCGCGCGGGGCGAGCGTGGACCTGGCGGCGGCGGCGGCGGCGGCGGCTTCCGCGGACCCGTTCCGTCGCGGGGGCGGGCCCGGCCCCGTCCCCGGAGCGGGCCCCAAGGCGCCGCCCCTGGCCCTGGCCATGCTGCCTCGGCGGCGCTGCTCCAACGCCTCCTTCTCCGCGCTGCTCTTCCGCGAGGAGGGCAAGGCGGTGAAGACGGCCGCCATGGTCATCGCGTCGTACCTCTTCTGCTGGACCATGTTCTTCGCGACGGTGTTGGCCGACACGTGGGGGTCGATCGGGGCGTCGCCGGGCGACGCGCCGCCCGCCGCCTCCGTCATCCCCGAGCACTGCCGCTTCCTCGCCGTGCTGTTCGCGCTGTCCAGCGGCTGCATCACGCCCTTCATCTACGTGTTCCGCAACGAGGACGCCCGCGCAGAGGCGTTGAAGATCGTGCTGTGGTGGCGCGGCGTGGGCAAGTACGGGTCCCCGCGCCGCTTCGACGGGTTCGGCGACGGGATGGGCAAGTCGGCGTCCGCGCACCACCACCACCACCACCACCACAACCACCATCACCACCACGGGCCGCACCACGCGGGGGCGGTGGGCGCGTTCGGCCCGCCCCCGCACGACGGCTTCGCGCTGCGCCGCCAGTCGCTGTCCTTCTGCGACAGCATCTCGGTGCAGTCGCTGCAGCTGCCCGCGGCCGGCGCGGCGCAGGGGCCGGCGCAGGAGTGCAGGCACTGCAGCGGCGACCCCGCGCCCGGCTTGCCCACCGCCGACTTCGTCGCCACGTACGAGGTGGTGGAGAGCCCGGTAAGTCCCACTTCCGAACGCTCGATTGGCCATCTCTTTCAGTTCTGCCAACGTCGCAGCTCATGAGTCAAAATGCATACGTGTATATGCGAATATGTACGCTGTGTCAGGAACTGTATAGGTTTATTTGAAAGTTCTTACTACAATGTGGCTAGCAAGCAGCAACCAAACTGGAAGAGATCGGAGACACCTGGGCATGATCTCTTTACCCCTTGCGCTATCTTAATAGTTGGCAGTTAAATGTTATATAGGAATTGTGGTGAGTTATCGTTGGCATTTCTAATGAAATAATTATATGCGTCGTCATTGCTAACAATATTATTTATTAAAATAGCTTAGGTAGTCGTTTTTGTGGCTTCCATACATCTGAAAACTGATGATGCCATGATGATCTAAGCCATCGAAAGCTGCTTTTTTAATAAATAATATTGTTGGGAATGACGCATGTAATTATTTCTTCAATTAAATGTTAGACATAGCTTGGATACTTTCTCGTTTTAATTTAATCTAATATTGTCCCTCCTAATTGGACTTACGGATGGTGCTAAGTGCTTTGGATTAATTATGAGAATGCAATACAATGATTTTATATAATGAGTTATTTGATTAAATCTTCTATAATTTGACTAAGAAGTACGCTGGGTCAACAGAAGGAGCGTAGGGATATCGCCGCCAGAGAATGTCCACGCTCTAGGCGACGCCTTCTGCGCATGCGCAGCCGGTATATTCCTAAACTAACAACATATCTTTCCGATCTCTAGCAACTCTTTCCGTCATCATACAGAGACTCGGTGTCATTTCTTGTCTAGGTGTCGAGGTTCGACAAGGTTAGGGAGTAATTCGTACTGTGACAAGAGCCAGTCGGGACTTGCTGAAATGTTGACTGAAGGCAAACAAGACGATGTTTTCAGTTCGACTATTAGTGCAATTTGGTTCATATTTTGCAACAAATCGCCGGGAACATTCTCGTGGACATTTTCCGAGGGGAAGCACGAAAAAGTCGTAATAGTTCAAACAAATATATTTCTAATATTTGATAATGGATAAATTACTATCGAATACAATTTAATTTTAATGAGGGGAGGCGTGTGCATAATTTGTTACCTAAAGGGAGTCATAGCAGCAAAATATTTGAAAACCACTTGTCTGCACCATTATCTTTTGCTTTGCTGCATGGGATGAATCACCCTTCCGGAAATGTATGCTATGTCCACAGAAAGAAGTTGTGCCTCGTTACAGGTGTTAGTGAGTCATTATTCTGTAAGCTGCCTGCAGCCACTTCTATCTGGCTGCAAGTAGTGTCCGATGAATCACCTTTCCATATACCTGCGCTTAGTTTACAGCATAATCTTACACCTCGTTATTGGGTGCATGGGAAATATGAACCTGTACACGCTATGTCCACGACATTAGATGACATGACTTTGAAGGTGGAGGTACATGAGTCACCGTTTCAATTATGTTCGATATATACACTTACTGAACGTTCATGTCGTTGAAAGGGGAGGTGGGTGAGTCACTTCCGTATAAGTGTGATACATTCACAGCATTAGGTTGCGCGTTGTTACAGGAAGTAGTAGAGAAGTTAACCTCGCGTATATGTAGGCTGTGTTCACACCATGAACATTCGATATTTGCAAGTATCCGTTCGTACGTGGACGCAACGGGCATGAACTTTCATCTGCTTCAGGTGGTAGCTCTTTCATGTATGTACGCTATTCATATATACACATCACGAGCTTTAAATTCATTGGAGGTGCTTGGAGGCACCCGTCCGAATACCTACTACGTTGTGGTTGAGAAATTATGCAGGTTGAGAGAGGTTGAAGGCAGTTGTCCTCCCAAATACGTACGCTATGTACCCAAAAGCAGCTTTCATTTCATTGCAAGTTGTATAGGAAGAGTCACCCGTCCGTATATGAACGCTAAGAACATATTCTTCTTTAGTGTGATATTCCTTCCATATATCTGTGAGTCGCAGGTACAGGACACTATGACACATTCACTAAATTTTACAGGAGAGCTGTTTGAAGGTTTCCATACCTCTAAATGAAAGTGGACTTGGTGTTATTTTATAGCACCGTAACTCCGCCATTATTAGATGTAGGACATAGTGTAAGATTCCTCTGGAGAGGGCAAAAAGCTCATGTTATTGTACCAAAAATTTCATTTTGGCCAAAAATGGACATATTGTCACGCACCTCCGACCGACAGATATGTACGCTATATAGACAATCCGCGCTTTGGTTGCATTGTAGGGGGTGGCGTATGGGTCTTCTCTCCGTAAATGTACGCTGAGGTCATGAACCATTGCCTGCCGCAGGTGGTAGCCCTTCTACGTCACGAGCTTTAAATTCATTGGAGGTGCTTGGAGTCACCTGTCCGTATACCTCCTACGTTATGTTCAAGAAATTATGCAGGGTGAGAGAGGTTGAAGGCGATTGTCCTCCCATATACGTACGCTATGTACGCAACACGAGCTTTCATTTCATTGCAGGTAGTAGAGAAAGAGTCTCTTGTCCGTTTATGTACGCTAAGAACATATTCTTCTTTAGGGTGATATTCCTTCCATATATCTGTGAGTCGCAGGTACAGGACACTATGACACATTCACTAAATTTTACAGGAGAGCTGTTTGAAGGTTTCCATACCTCTAAGTGAAAGTGGACTTCCATACCTCTAAGTGTAACTCCGCCATAATTAGATGTAGGAAATAGTGTAAGATTCCTCTGGAGAGGGCAAAAAGCTCATGTTATTGTACCAAAAATTTCATTTTGGCCAAAAATGGACATAGTGTCCTATACCTCCGACCGACAGATATGTACGCTATAGCGCTCACTATCCGCGCTTTGGTTGCATGGTAGGGGGTGGCGTTCTCTCCGTATATGTACGCTGTGCCTGCCGCAGGTGGCAGTCCTTGTACGATCTGTCGTGTGGTTGCAGGTGGTGGGCGAGGAGTCTGCGGGGTCCGGTCCGGGCGCGCCGGCGCGCGGCGCCGGCGCCGCCCTGCTGGACGGCCGTCCGTCTGTCGCCGTGGGGCGTGCCGGGGCCGGCGCGGGCGGCGGCGGGCGGCGCGGGCGCGGCCTGGGGCGGGGGGGCCGGCGGCGCACGCGGCGCGACGCGTGACGTTCCGCTGGCCTTCCTGCCGCGCGGCGCTGCAAGGCGTGCGTGCGCCAGAACTCGGACTCGTCGTCGGGCAGCGGCCACCCGCTGCTGCGCGACTCGGACAGCGTGGGCAGCGGCGGCGGCGGCGGCGCCGGCCGCGCAGACTCGGCCAAGGCGCGCCGGCAGCAGTTCCTGCTCGGAAGACAGGTGAGTGGCGCGGCGCGGAAGCTGCACCTAGGGGGTGTGGAGGGATTTGCCTGAGGCGGGCAGTTCTAAAACTACAGTCGACTCCGTTTATAATGAACTCGGATATAGCGAACTCTCAGTTATAATGAACCTACGCCACTGGTCCCGTTTCACTTACATTACATATAAACATAAAAAGATTCGCTTATAATGAATATTGAACTCTAACTGTAGATAACAAAGGAAATTTGTCTTGAAAATTCCCTTCTGGAAAAAAATATATCGCCTCATTGCCACAAAGTTCAACTCTAGACAACATGGAAAAAAATTTCACCGGCCAAAGGTTATAATTCTCCCCTGATAAGCAAATGGCGGAACCGGATTGTTTTATTCAGCGATCAGTTTCGTTTGCCGCTTGTGCCCTGCCGCTACGGAAAGGATATCGTATGTTATTAGGCGAGTAATGGGGCATTCTGAAAATGGGACGATGTTCCAACAGTGCAAGTAGCATTCGAAGTCATGTCAAGATTACTTTACGATACTTAGACATTGGACAATGCAGAATCAAGTATGACGAAATCAGGAACTCGAGGAGTACCTAGAAAAATTACGTCCATACTCTTTTGAACTGCACCCAGTTTCCTCAAAAACCTTGCGTCCGTTGTAACCGACGTCCCATCCCTCAATTGCTCTTTCTCGCGAGTTCATACACCTTGTGCAAAATTTATTTCTGTATCTGACGGGTGTGGATGTGTGTTTGCGCGCTGCAGGGGAGCTCGGGCGAGGAGCTGTTGTGCTCGGGGTCGGAGTCGGGCACGCCGCGCCACTTCGCGTCCTCGGCCACGGGCACCCCGGCCTTCCGCCGGGCGCCGCTCGCCATCGAGGCCAGCCCCCGACCCACACACATCCACCAACGCCCCGAACCCCCCACGCGACCGCGCCGGGCACCCGCACTTCCCGCCGCCGCGCACACGCCGCCCGCCACGCGCCACCTTGCTGCTCGTCAGCCACGGGGGCGGAGGCGCGGCGGGAGCGGGGGCGGCAGTGCGGACTCGCCCGGCCACGGCCATGGCCACGGCGGCGGCGGCGGGGCCGTCATCCTGGAGCTGGAGGAGCAGCTGGAGGGCGGTCGGACGCCCGCGCAGCCCCGCTCCGCAGCCGTCTTCCAGGTGCGTGCCCTTCATTTATTTATAGAACGTTGAAAAACTATAAGGAGAACAGTATTCTGTGCACGTTTTTTTAATTCTGCGATCCCTACACACAAACTTGTTCACAAGTTAAATTCTGGTTATAAATAGATAAAAGAGCGTATTTTTTGGCAAGAATTGTTAATAAAAATTCGCCTCAGTGTAATAAAATCTGTTTGCAAAGGCAAATGAGCTATAGATTTTGGCTATTATTCCTTATCGGTGTTTATCGTGAAGGAATTGACTTTATGCCGTGAGAAGGATAATTTGAAAAACTGTATTTCCTAGATAAATCTAGAAAACGTGCACAGATACGTGAAGGTATATTTATGTCTAGAAGTCGAACAAGGGGCCATCTCCGATTTGCCCAAAGGATGAGGGATACTGAACAAAAAATGTGATCGACATGTGGGTCATTGACCCAGAAGCCGAGATTCAATACTTGTTACAGGTTGTTTAGAATTATACAGTCCCAATGATAATTTATACATTGAATATCTTCGTTAAAAATAATATTACATCTTTTGTGATGCTTGGAAGAGCTCTCCGGATGCTCTTCAGCGGAAGATGTCTAGTTTAAGACTAACTTAGAGTAGTGCAACTGGCGTGTATTTTCCTATTAAAATTTGTCATTTGTGCTACGTACTGAAAATTATACTGTATTTTTCTCTAACAGGAGCCCATGATATACTCGTACATGACTAGTATCGCTACACATAAATAGACAATAGGGAAAACTGGTTATAAATACGTCTTTAACAGAATGTTTCCCGATTTGTTGCAACGTTAACAATATCACACGCCCATTACATTTATCTCCTGATATTGTTACGCTATTCTAATATATTCACAAATGTCATATTTAGAATTTCTTGTAAGATGTTTTCAAGGTGGATACGTAAATTTTTCAGGTATATGTGACGAACTTATACATACGATAAAATTATTATAAGATATGCTTAAACATAGACGTAAACATTTTGGGTGAAATCTACACGACCTGTCAACTTGGTATAGTTAACTTATTATTAGTCCCCGGATGTTGAAATAACTTCATGTTCATGTGGCATTTTGTTTTCTTTTCGATGAGAAATAAAATTGACTCTTTATTGTTTTTGATACGAAGGTTTGTCCTAATTTTGATATTTTTATTGTTGCTAATGTTTTACATTTCAAACTCATTTTTAAATTCATCAAGTTCATTAGTAATTACTTCGTTTGTTTGTAAAAAGGCATTAAAATGAATATATTACGTTATTAAATTCTGATTTGTGTATATTAAACAGATTGTTTTAATAAAAAAATCTAGTATAAGTCATTCACTACATAATGATGCAAAAAATGAGTGTATAAACAATTCGCCAAATTTTCAACATAATTTTATTCTTCTGTGTTTCCGAAAGTAAAAGAAACACTACAGTTGAACGGCAATTCATTACAATGTACGCCGAGTTGATCTGAACCAAAATTTTTCCAACACCTTTTTCGCTTTCGCAATGTATGTGTTGTACCCCGCGATCTTCTAGGTCAATAAAAAACCGAGTTTGTGTTTGTGCACTAGGGAGTTCCTGACATTCTTGCGCCAGTTAACTGTCTCTCAGTGAAGAAGCGGGCGTGGATTCTTTCTCCGGCGCAATATCGCCGCCAGCGCGTGGTGCGAACGAGTGATGCACCTCAGGCCCGTTGCAGGGGGCGTGGCGGTGACGCGTGAGGGGGAGGGAGTGGGTGAGATGGGAGAGGAAGCGGAGATGGGATGAAGGTGGGAATGGAGACGGAAGTGGCTGGGGGGTTGGGTGACGATGGCGGCCTGGGGGCGGAATGGAACGTTGACTTCGCGCGTGAAATCTGTGCACTCGGTGACGTCACGCAGCTACACTGAATGCCGTCTCAAAAACATCGCCTTCGTAGCTTTTCGACTGACAGCCTCTGCACAAAGAAATTACATTCACATTTCATATAAGAAAGCACAGGAGAAACCCAATGTAACAAATATAGCCAAAGCAGCCAAAAATTATTTCTGACTGATTACAATCCGTAGCTCGGAGTAAGCTACCCAATGTTTTCTCAACAGCGATAGCATGCCTAGTTGACTTTACTGCGCATGTGAAGTGTCTTCCTTCCTATGTGTTGTTTTCTATGTACGGGGCAAGCTCTAATCTCCCAACTGGTTTCCCGACATGCGCAGTTGTGTAGTGCATACGTGTGTCAGTAGCAGGTTGACGATACAAGGAACAGGAAGGAAATACAGCGCGCCGTCCGTGGCCCAATTGTAAGGGTTCTGCTCCGGCATTCGCTTATTGTTTGTCGGAGAAACCACGGAAAATTCCGATGAGATCGGTCGGTTTCTAAACTTCTCCTCTAGTCACGGCTGAACCTGACCATCAATCGTGCTATTCAGTGTCGGAAATCGTGCTGTAGGGTGGAGGCGAATCTATATTTGCTAGAAGCGAGACTGATGAGGCTCGGGGTGGAAGTGGAGGTGTGACGCAATCCAGGGAGGGGGCGATATTGCAGTGGGACCATTTGCAACCGCGAGGCGGAGGCAGTAGTGAGGAAACGTTGGAGATAGAGGAGGGATCCGCGGATGGGTCTGAGTGGAAGCGTTAGAGGGAGGTTGGCCAGGGAACGGTGTTCCAGAGGTGATAATTGCCAACCGCGAGGATGTGCCGTGGTGGAAGGGGAGGCGGTGATTGGAGGTGAGAATGGAGGAGAGATCCGTGGATGGGTGTGGGTGGAAGCGTTAGAAGAGGTTGGCGAGAGAACGGAGTTACAGCGGTGATAATTGCCAACCGCGAGGATGGGGCGTGGTGGAAGTGGAGGCGGTGATTGGAGGTGAGAATGGGTTCTGCAGGTGAGGCGGTGGGTGTAATCGGAATCACGAGCGGCGGAGTCTGGGTTGAACCGTGGTGGGTACGGGGAGAGCAGTGGAGCTCGCGTGAAAGGAGGGAGTGGGGCTAGAGGTGAATTGGAGGGCGCCTGGGGGTTGTCAGCTGAGTTTATGGCGGAGCGGTAGTAGGAGAAGCGTTAAAAGATGCGGAAACTCAGAAAGAGCCAGCTGGAATACCGTCATGCTAGTTCCTCGTGATTGCTTTGATGCATCGGTGTCAAACACTTTTTTCGCCTGTTTTCTGGCGCAAAAATAATATTTTCACGTGACTTGTACATTTGCTTAGTGAACATATTGCAATGAATCAGACTCACGTTTTCTATGGGATTCATCTATCCTATACGTCTAATCCTATACGTGTAATAATAATTGTTTTTCTTCATATTTCGCCACTCTGTCACAGATGTAGATTCAGCAGTTTCATAGAAATACATTACCTGTTTCGCAGTAATCAATATCACAGCAGTGTCTCTGACCGGACCTTCTCCAATCAAAAGCACCAATAAGGATGGCAGGAGATTCACTAACAATCGGGTCTCCTTTGATCTTCCCTTCCTCTTTCTTGTTCGATCCCCATCCCTTACACTTACATGCCCTATATTACCGCACATTTCGGGAGACTATTTGGGAGCTTATAATTTGTCCCAGATGAGGCGGTGCCCAATATGTTGGACAATCATGAGGAACATCACGAAATCAGACCTGTAGTTAAGCACCGGATCCTGTCATCCAGCGGGAGAGGTACAGAGCCCTCTCCTGTGATTTAAAAAATACTCTATTCTAACATAACTGATGACCATAATGCATGGAAGCACGAAATAATCAGTCGCAATAATCACCCTCTGATGTGATTCCACAGCTCCATATAATCACGTTATAAAGGATTATTTTGAGATCTAAGAGTTCCGTAATATGTAGTATTATAATACTAATAATTATTACCAAAGGAATTATCACCTTCTAAAGGTTGTTCCGAGGGTGGGTTGTCTCGATAGAGCAAGTCGTATAGCAATTGGGCCGGGAGAACCAGATTAGATTCCATCCCATTTATAATCCTTACTTCGAATATCTGAAATACTCGTTATTAAAATATAAACACAGTTACATTCTGTAAACAAAGTATTTTCTTTGTCTAATTAAAAAGTAGCATTACAAGTAACCCATGAAAGCGCATGCTCTATAATGAAATGCATTAAAGCATCTGCATGAGTACCTTAATGAATTAGTGCACTATCCTAGATTACGATCGTTCGGAGCTTAGTTTGTAATCAAACAAAATTCTTGCTCTTTTCAGTAGGTTCTTCATTGAACAAATAGATAAGATTTGCTTTCAATAATTCTACTGAATAAATAATACTTTTCTTTGATATTTTTTACTCGTTTGTTCATTTCTTTGATAGACGTTAGCCATCTCTTTGTTTCTCCCATTTTTAAGTCATTATTTCAATATTTTATTACATATTTAAAATTAATTTAGAATAATATCCTTTACAATTTACTTCACTATATTATCCCCCTAATAAGTGCGTACTCTCAGTTTTTTTACATTCGTTTATTTCCTTTGAATTTCTTTTCCTCTTTTTCTCTTGTCACTTTTTTCTGTCACTTTCTTTTTCTTTGTTACTTCCTTTCTCTCTGTAATTTCTCTCTCTCTCTCTCTCTCTCTCTCTCTCTCTCTCTCTCTCTCTCTCTCTGCAACACTTTCACTCTGTTTCTCAGACTTTCTCTCTTTTCTTTATCTCTTCTCTTGCTGTCTCTTTCTATCCCTCGTTTTCTTTCCAGGTCTACACACATATACGTATACACACACCACATACACACATTCTCTCTCTCTCTCTCTCTCTCTCTCTCGTACACAGTGACAATCAATCGGTTACTCTTCTTCTTTCTCTGTGACGTTCTCTCTTTTGGGCACTCTCTTTCTGTCTCTTTCCGTGTCTCTCGTTCCCGAGTCTTCCTCATTTCTATTTTCTTTGGCGAAGTCACCTGCAGAGAGCGGTTGCGCGTGTCCTTTCCCTAGGAGTCATCGCTCGCTGCTGGGGCGACAGCGGAGTGTCGCTTTCACTCCCCGCCCGGCGACGATTCGTGCACGCGCTGACACTGACGGGCGCTTCAAATGTTCAGATGTGTCGGTTTCATCTCCCTCCTGCGAAAATAGGCCTCTCGGGGCGATGTTTGATTGAGTTGTGCGATCGTTTTTCTGCTCCCGAGTGTACATTTAGACTTCCGAGTTACGGACATGTGTAAACATCCTATCCGATTCACTTTCCGGTGGAGAGTGGCGGTGACTGAACTGCAGTTCAACTCTAGTTCATAGTCACAGCATTTAGAGGGTAGTTAATGGATTGGATATAAGATTAAAAGATATTTTTTATTGGACAATTGTAGCAAGTGAGATTGTGATGTGTTTTGAAAGAAATTATTCAATTGGATACAATTTAGTAATTTTTCAATTTTGTTAGCCAACCATCCCAAAAAAAAAGTAATAACTAATAAAAACACTCTTGAAAGTGATTTTTTCCAACAGATGAAGCTAGTCGTTATTTTCATTATAATCTCTAGTAATACTTTAAGATATAAATCTTTGCTAACTGACAATAATTTATCAATATAATGTAAAAATAATATAAATATCTGTATTATTTTATAGAAAACATAATAATCAGTATCATGTAAAAATATATTCAATACAACTTCATTGTTGTGCCTCCCCTCTCTCTCCAATTCAAAATCTCCAGAAGGTGTTAACCCGAATCATCATACATATTATCAACATTGTTAACATGATGTTTACTGCCATGGAATACAAAAATATTATCATTTTAAAAGTAACCTTTCTACTCTCTTTATAATTTATTTTCGTTTGAGGCATCTGTCTTAAAGAGATTTCTAGAGTTCAACTGCTTCCGGTAAATAATGGCTTCGAATATAGCTCGAAGTGCTTGGAACCTCTTTCTAGCGTTTATAATAATATTTATCCCTGAGATCTCAAATAGGTGGGAGGAGGGTCGCATTCGTCTGGATTTTCCGGCTACGCGTGACTTAAAAATAAAATTTGGCAACGTCTTGTACTTCTGCACTTAACAGTGGACACGACTGAAAGCGTGTTGATGAGTATTGACAGGAAGGATCAGTTGAAAGAGAAAGTAGATTTGGCAACGGCCCAAAATGCACTTGCGACAGTTCGGAAGGATTGTAGAAAAATGATATGCCAATCTATGAAAGTATAAAGATGAGACAACACGTTTGATGTTCACTTTACACAATCCTTTTCTTTTCACGGCAGACCTACGATCTGGTCTTGTTTATCTTCATTATTAGTTTACTACTATTACTTTATTTTCAGACATTTGTAAAATTTACTTTATTTTATTGGGTATGAGTTAATGAAAAGTTAATAAAAATAATAATTAAACTTCAGGGCTGGATGAGAACAACTATGCCACGGACATCATTATTTTCATATACGCGAATGGCATCGGAGTCGGTGCTATTTCGGCACCGGGCTTATGGCAACATTGTCCGATCGTCTGTGTCAAATGAGGTGTGTTGCTGGTACTACCCAAACCCTTACACCTTAAAAAAACGTGTATCAAATCACAATGCCTTTCAGTATCATATAGCAACAACAGAAAGTCGATCCACGTAGTTTCGTAGATAAACGCTTATTTGCACAAATTAGGAGATTTTTGAAATTTACTTTCGTAATTAGATATACTTTTGTAATTAGATATTTTATGACTTGAGTAAAGTCATTTGAAAACTTTTCTAGGTAGTAGGTAAAGGCGTGTTCTTGTGTTTTTTTAAGAGAGATGGTTCCCATTATTTGAAACATTTCTGACGCTGATAGATAATTGAATTTTAGAACAGAATTACCTTCAACGTTAATTGTATTAAATTGTATCCACAGTAGGTGCTTTTTTCGTTTGACAAAATAATTTTTATTAAAAAGGATTAATTATTTTTTAAAGTGACAACTGAATAAAAATATTATATATCCCTTAGAAAATTAAAATTGCTTATTTCACAAACACACAAAACTCATAATTTCATTCTACAATAACATTTCAGTTAAATTTTATTGGGTTCAGTAAACATTTTACATTTAATCCGTTATACAAAACATTAATCATAATTTTTATAGAACTTGTTCAATTTTAAGTATGTTTAAGAACTAATAAGTGAAAGTGATCAAATAGTAAGTTATATATCTGATGTTTTGTAAAACTAATTTATTTTGATGAAGTTGTTTATTTTTCTTGTATCAACAAAAATAATTTTCATTGTTTTATTATCTTTGTAGCAGAAACAAATACTATTCATGATATTTATTATTATTTAGCATTTTATTATATTCCTTGATACAAGAAGTGATTTTGAAAAGCCAGTATTTACTATCTGAAGAATGTTAAAAAGTATACAAATCATACCTCCCTGGAATATGAGAAAGTGTGAAATTATTTTATGTAGATTTGAAAATAAAAATATACACGAACTGGAATGAAAGTACGTGAATTATTTTCTAGTGCAATTAATTCCAAATTTGAGTTGAATTACTAAATATATTTATAAATGAACTCAACAAAAACATGAAAACCGGTTATAGTTTTTGTTTCTAACACTTCCAAGTCAATCAAGTAGTACCGCTTTTGTAATTTTGAAGAGCACATTTTTTCTCACACCACGCACAGCAAAAAGGTATTTCTTCACTTATCTGAACACATCCAACTTACAACTGCATTCTCTCACGAACAATGTCGATGTGACAGGCTCTGTAAAACAACTTGAAGTAATGGTAGTTTTCCTCCACAGTTTCAAGAGACGTCGTTGGAAGGTTCGGAGACCATCACCGCGCGACAAGACTCCACTCAGAGCGACTGCACGGTAAGAACTCGCAGAATATTGTTAGCACATCCTCTAGTTGTTATTCAGCTTTGGATACAAATATTTTTCGCAGATGATGAAGGTCAATGCACACCTGGCGTCAGCGATACGCGTTTTGACACAGTAAAAGCTGAACAATAAAAAATCCATATAGTAATTGTTATATTAAAAAACCTGTAAAGCTAAGTAACTGCCAAATGTTAGTGAATTGCATACAAAAAGTGGCTTGCTGCTAGAAATGTCACTTTTGTAAGTTTTATTGTAGATATCCCACCAAGTGTTCATTGGAGAAAATGTGATATTTGCCCTTGATTGGTAATCGCGCATAGGTGTTCTGCAGGTACATAATGTTTAAAGTTCGGCATATCATGCACCTGACAACACCAGTGTATGATGGTTTGGTTACCAACGAAGTCAAATGTCAGGAGTATAATTTCTTCATATGAGATTTCCCACCACATCATCTTTGGCAAAAAGTGACTTTTCTTTGACCCCCCGTTTCTTCCCCTAGACGTTTGCGACATTTCATTCTTGAACTCGCTATTTTTAAAATGAGTAAATAACTGGCTTATTTTTCATATCGAAAAACAGTACAAGATAAACCGCTTGTACCAATAATAGGCAAATTTCACATCTGTTCCATTGATTTCTGATGTAACAAAGTGATCTTTCTTCGACACCCATATATGCTCAAGAAAATTCTAAAATTTATTTTGAATCATCATATGTTTTAAAAGTTAGTCAGTGCGTGACGTTTGATACTCTGATTTAAACACAGTAGCACTTCATGGTCACGAGCTTTAAGACGAGGGCCACTTTGTCATCCATACAAAAAGAAAGTAAGTCGTAAGTCGATAGTAGGCCTCGATTGGATGACATTGTCCCCTTCTCAGTTCACTTTCTAACCTTGAAGTGCCAATGTGTTGAAATTGAATATATTGCATTTTGATTTCCTTACCACCTAGTGGAAACTGTCACATGTATAGATTATTATGTGAGATTTCCTCCCAGAAGTCTTGGCAACAAGTGAAACTTTCTTCGACCTACATACTTGTCTTACAAGTGTGAATTATTTATTCTGAGTCACTCTATATTTTTAAAATCAGTAAATTCCTATCCCTTCGTTATATACCAAAGTAAAGAGAGCAAGCTTACTGCTCACTATCAGAGACAAATTTACAGCTGAAACTTTGTTACATGAGATTTCTCATCACTAGTTCATTGGCATAATGTTACCTTTTTCGGCCACGATACGTGCCCTAGAGTTATTCAGAAACGCCCTGAACGCCGAAAATCAGTAGTGTGTGGCATTTTATTTCTGTGCACCGGGCGTACACTTCTATTAAAAAACGAAGTCCTTTCAAGGTCACAAACTGGCAAGAAAGGGGAACACCTTCATCCAATAACGAGCTTCATTTAACTTAAATTTTTGGTATTGAAATTCTCTATTGGATGGCAGTGCCCCTCTCTTTTCAGCTTGAGGTCTTGAAAGGACTTATTGTCTCTATCGAAGTATATACGCTGATTGTGCGATGTGTGCTTGCGGCAGATCCGGCAAGACTCGAACCTGAGCGACGCGACGGTGGACAGCGGGGTGGTGGCGGACGCGCCGCCGTGCCCGGCCACGCCCCTGGGGCTGCTGCGCTCGCAGTCGTCCAGCAGCAGTCTGTGCAGCGGGGCGTCGCTGTGCGCGCCCTCCGCCAAGGCGGCGCGCCCCCGCGCGCGACGCCACCGCCTGCAGCGGCTGGCGGCCGTCGAGGACGACGAGGACGCCCACGCCGCCGCCAACGGCGCCTCCGCCGCCCACGACGAGGAGGAGGAGGAGGACGACGCCGAGGACGAGGAGGACGTGGTGGAGGCCGCGGAGCTCCCCAAGACGGCGGTGGTCGGGGGGTTCAGGGCGAGGTTTCCGCGGCCGGCGTTCCGCCTGCCCAGGTGCGACTTCTGACGCCGCGCGCACCCGCCGCGCGACGCCGCGGTGCCCGCTGCCGTGACGCACGTGCCGCCCGCGCGCGCGCTCTGGTGGTAGGAGGACGAATTACTGGAACGTGCCACTGCGTTTGAAAGGCACAGCGACTCGGCTCGTCCAGACGTCGGAGAAATTCCCTGGCGCTCACATAAAATCTGCTTCCACAAGACGAGGACGTAGACAACGCTCCAGCATTGGCGCTTTGGTAGTAGTCCTCATGACGGCAAAGACGTCAAGGACGCACCAACTCTGGGTATCTGATGATAGCGTCGAGTTGTCGAAGATGTCTGGCATGCACCGCCCCTGGTGCTGTCAAGGGAAGCACGACTTCTCCCCATGTTCTCTAAATCATTTCGAGTGACCAGTTTTTTTACAGCAGTTGAGACACACGTGGCACAAATCCACACTTCCCGGAGGTAGGATGAGATGCCAGATTTACCCCGACGCACCTCTCTGGTTTTCCAGACGAGTGTGTCAAAGTGACTTGTGCCGATGGTTTTCGCGTGAGGTATGAACCTCATGGACTGACACCGCGCACCAGACGAAGGTCAGAAAGAGTCGACAGCCCCGTTAATGGAAGCTGCATTGATGTCTTGTCCTTCAGAATTAAGCGTGAAACAGAAGAGAGTGCACAACGCATTGAATTATGACCCATTGTGCGGTATGCCGTGTGTGACGCCGACCGACACATCATGCCGCTACCTCTGCTACAATCCTCACAACTGACTCCATCGCTCTTGGCCATCTAACGACAAACTGGTTGAAGAACCACAGCGATAAAACTACAGCGCTGAGAGTTATCATGGGTAACGAGAACTATCTACCTCGCTAGCTCTGATATAGAACATGCGCTTACGAGTCTACAGTCAGGCGTAAATTGAAGTAGGTCGGTTTAGACTGCATGTCGCCCTATTCGATACACGAGATCAACAAAAGGAAGCATATGTTTGTTCCATTCAGTGATCCTCTCTTCAGTGCTTTCTATGGAGTCGATCCACAGTGCGCTTCCAAGCGTAGGAAGGTGGGATCGGGCTATTTCCCCAATCTCACCTGCCCGGGATCATTGCTCTTTAGGAGGGTACGAAACGACAGACCTTGTGCATAGTCTTCACGCACACTAGGCAAACGACAGAGATTCTAACAGGTAAAGTGGAACCTCGGGATCTGCAATGTCAAGGTGCAAATTGCCGTAAAGAAAATTTCGACATAGTATTCAAAATAACAACACATGTCATCAGCAGATGAATAAATTAAATTGGATTTATTGATTTTCCACTGGATTTTGTCAAGGTCCCTTCTCTTTCCGTGCTGAAGAATCTTTGAATTTATTGCAATTTCGGAATTAGTCACAAGAAGAGGGGGCTTTGATATACGTCGAAACGCAATTACGAATATTGCTGATGTGCCTACGTAACTAATTACGTAAGCACATGTACGGCTTCTTCAGAACTCCGTTTTTCACTGCCAGTACATCTAACCCACTACTCTTGTTTTGGAGAAACATCACAGTGTTGCCTATATAGTTTGTTCGAGGACAAACTTATGGTCAATAGAAACGTGAACTATTAAATGTGAAAGAAAGCGTTTCTCGTTTTCGATATCTATAAACTGCTTTAGAATTGAAGCTGGTGGCAAAGTGGCGAATCTTAAATACCATTATTCTGAAAATAGCTTTTGAAAGGCATAATTTTTTCTATTTTTGTAATCAAGAACTAAAATGTGTTCCTGTGTCAGGACAAACTTCATTTCTAAAGCAGTTGTTAGGTATTGAAAATGGACAAACGATTTCCGAAGATTCAATAATTTAAATTTGTATTGACGATAAGGCTAACAAATTTATCGTTATTCATTTCACAGAAAGTATTTTTTCCTACAATTAAATCTGTTTTAGGCACACAAATGGTTAGTGAAACCTACAGATATTGATACTGAGGAGAAGCAGTATGAGTGATGAAGAACTGCATCCTAGGCTGGTTTTGCTCCCTAAATGGAACTGAAATTATAACGAACCAAGGCAGGTGAGAAGGGGATTCGCTGTGCGCAATTTTGTAAAATATTTGCAACCACGGTGTATTTCGTTTTGTTACATCATTGACAGCATACCCCTACACATTTCCCAACTCTGCATGGCTGTGTCAATGACTGTGGTCATTTGTTTGCGGTAAAGTGGAAACATTCGCCCTCGATTTCTGTGGGGTGGAAATATTCGGACTGTTCTCTTCACTGCAGCTGTATTTGAATTACAGATACGCTCGCAAATCGACAGTAACTAGAATCCAATTTGCGAAAACAACTGAAGACTGGAGGCGGTAAATGAATCATGTTGGGATGATAGACCATACGTCTGCGCGAACCACACGAATCCTCCCGAATAAATGCTGGAGGAATGAGATAGTTATTTTCTGCGCCATTCACACACACGTAAGTGACTTTGTCCTTTATCGAGGTCAATTTTTTTCCCTTATTTTGAAACAATTCTTGGAAGCTAGTCAGTTGGTATTAACAATTCGTGTTTAGAAACGTATGCTTGGTTGCTTTCCCGACAATCATGATTTTTAATATTTCAGACAATATCCCATTATGCTGGCAAATTATTTCGAAATGTTCTGTAAAACTTTCAGAATTATTCAGTACGATTCTCTGAAATGACTCAATGATTTAAACTGTGACTCAAAAGGAAAATGCTAATAAAAGTTTTCATTTATCATCTTGTTTTGGCAGCGTAATGCATTTAAAAACATAATTAAGATTCATTTAGTAAGTAGGGATACATTTTCTTAAGTACACCAAGCTGTTTCTATCTTTTCGAGATTCGTACGATTGCCTTTGTTTTCTGATCTTTTGCAGAAGAAATTCATTACCACTGCCTACTCTATAAACGTTCGCTTTCCAACCAAAGTTCCATTTTTTTCCTGTAAAAATTTGAATTTTCAAAACAGTACTATGTAGTGAGTAATTAAATGGAACACCAAAGTACAATTAAGTAGAAAGTAGTGACATAATTATTCTTGTAAAATCTAGAATAACAGATCAGAACTTAAGAGATATTATGTTCGTAATAAGCTTGGTTATTATGCCACTCCTTAATGAACAGAATCTAAAAAATATACATATTTTTATTGTGTATCATAGAAATAATAACAGGAAAAATATATTTAACCCTCTTGATGATGAGTATAGGAAGACTAAAAATGAAAATTTTGATAAAGAATTGAGAGCAGCTAAGGGAGAACAGTCCGACATTGATCTCAATTACTTGTGTGAACATGTGATCTAGTAGTTATGATAATGTTGAGGTGCAAGTTACTAATTAATCTGTTTTGTCGTCTATAAACTGCGTAAGCAGAATGGAACACACGACAGTGTTCTTTTTTTGTTATATCTGAGACTGTGACTATGTATTGCATATACAGAATATTCATGGACGCACTACGATTGTGAGAGTGAAACCTTGTGATTCTAGACAAGATATTCTTCTTCTTACGTTGAAGTTGTATTAAGATGAAGTGAACGTGTTGGTTGCCAGCGCTAAGTGAAAGCTGGCAAGTGTTTTGGTGCTGGTTGCGGGACGTGGACGCGATTCGGCAAAGTTGCATACATATATCTCTTCTGTCTTTGGTGCTTCGTCGGGACATATTGCCAGTAGACTTTTAAGTAGATCCACTCTACCTCGTCAATCACAAAAACTCTAATAGTATGTAACGTATTCTGCAAAGACGCACAAATAATAAATAAACAGTGAATCGATTTATCATTGAAAAACGAGTGCTTCGATCGTACACCAAATCTTTTCAACTTCGTGGGTTTACATTAAAAGATGCACAACCTTACAATACTTTTACGTTTCATGGTATAGATATAGTTTAGATCGAAGAGATATGCAACGAGCTTTTCGCCAAAGTCCCGCACAAGTTGTGATATTGAAAGTGATATTAATTTTACATCACTGGGATATAAATTTGACAAAGATGTAAAAACATTATGCCAAATTAGATTTGATCGTCTCGCTTCTATAAAAATGTATAATAACATACGTGTAAGCATAATTTCCAAAGCTTCCTGCTTCTTTTTTAAAGAAATGTTCTCCGTCTGTATGTCTTGATGTGTTACTCTGTTAAAAAATGTATAAATAATGTGTGTAAATGTACCTTGCGATATGCAAATTCCACACAAATTTGCAAAACTAAAAACGAAAAATGATAAAATTGTATTCTGGTACGCTTTTTTCATGCGTTAAATGTATTTAATTGGGAACTTGCAGATTTGATGGAATTTGAATATTTTCTTCGAAATTTTTAATATTGAAATATTTAAATTTTTTTCTTTCTACAGCACAAAAATACATAAAATAATTTGTGAGTCGAATTTGAAGGGGAACCATTGAACTTCTCTTAAAACAGTTACTCTTAATTACCTGCAACACGTCGGAACCGGAAACATCTTTTAAAGAGATAAATCGCGACTAGAAGGGAGATTTTATGTACCAGAACTGGAAAGTTGTTTTCGTTTCATACACTTAACGTTTCCGCCATGCAGTAAAAACAGGGGATAAAATGGTGAGATGTGTGTAAGTCTGTCTTTATGAGTATTACAATGAAACTTATCTAACATTCCTGAGACACGAATTTTCAGTGGGAAAGTTTTATTTATTGCTAAATTCTGGTAGACGTAGCAAGTGTCTTAAACATTTCTATGTACAAAGAACATTTAGGATATGTACAAGGACTATAGATAACGTAACCTCGAGACTCTATCATACTATTAGTCTTCTTGAGTTGATTTTGAGAATATTAACTAAAATTCCCCACAGATTTGTCTTTTTACTGCCTTTGAGGAGTTCGGAGTTATTACACACTACTGGAGCCGGAACGAAAGTGTGAAACGAGATGAAAACTCTTTCAGGGTTGTAACCTGTGCGCGATCTCCAGTCAATAAACGCGAAAGAAAGAAATTAGATTTTCTGCTTGCCGCCCACGATGACGGTTGAAGGGTAAGCAGGAAGAGAGTAAATTAATTTTCAAGCAAAGCAGTCACGTGCGAACTTTGTGAGCAGATAATTGAAGCGTTGAGAGTTCGCCAAGGGAAGTTCATATATTGGTTTCCGATCGTTGGAGAGGAAAATGTAATTTGCGTTCGTCAAATGCAGAAGTGCGTTTAAATATATTTCCAGAAACAAATAGTTTGCTTCGAGTACATCTACGTAGGATTTCTGAAATGTTTTTGCACCTATGAAAGTTTTGAAGAAAAAACATTTCATTTTCTTTCCTTTTTCTGTATGGTACTGCTAGGTTTTCCGTATTGCACTTGCAATTAAAACGCACATTCTGTTCATAAATTTTAAGTCAAGAAATCCTCCAAATGTAAACAAAATTAAATTGCAGGAAAATTGTAGGAAATACATATAATTAAACAATGATGTAAATCAAGAGAAAATAATCATATTGTCTTTAAAAAATGAAATTACACTTTGTTGAACGTTTTTACAAATTATGATTGCTATTATTATTATTATTATTATTATTATTATTATTATCATTGTAACTTCTCTACCACAACACAATATTTTCGAATATGCAATTGGTCATATTTCTGGGTCTTTTAAATATTGGGAGTAAATATAACTTTTTTAAAAGTGATTAAAATATCGGTGTGTTGACATTTCCTGATTTCGTACTCCAATTTACTTTTGTATTTAGTATTCGGAAGTGAAAACCAAATTAAGAAAAGTGGACAATTATTTATTCAAAGATTAATTTTATTATTTTCTTAGGGAAATATTTTTTTTAATTTCAAAAAGCAGCTATTTGCCAACGTTCATACCAGGATTTCCTGCTCTTTACGTGTCTCTTTTTAGTCAAGAAATAATCGAAGATCTAATTTAATTCCGCACGATCCTCGATCTGCTTGAGGAACACAAAGTGCACTTTCTTCTGTAAGGTCGCCGCGACTACGTCCAATTTTGGAAGACTGTGTTTGCTAAATCTAATGTCGCAAATTGTACATTGCTAGGTATTCATACACATGCGTTCTTCTGCGCCATTCCAAGCTCTCCGTATGAATTGTCATGGTTAATGTTTGTACTTAAACTGTCTGTCCTCCACTTGCAGATATACTATATAATAATATTGCGAAAACTTCCCCAGCGGTTGTCAACGTTTCTACGAAGCTACTCACCATAATTTCTTCCGTTTTATGTCAGTTGCTTCGGAGATGGTGACCGCTGATCTTCTCTAAGCAAGCTACCCCGAGAGCCGAGATCAAAGATCAACGTACACTCTAACTTCCGGCTGGACCGGAGGTCATTTTGAGTGGTCACTGATCTAATCAATGTATTCAATCATTTTATTGTAAATTGTATCGCTATGTTCTGTATGTGACGGTGTTGGAAAAAACCAACCGTTTCGTCTATTGTCTTGTATTAGGTGTTATTTGAGTACTTAGAGTTCGAATGGTTTGTCGAAAGTACTTTTTTCTGTAGAATAGTGAAGCCAGTAGGTGGAAAGTTTCTTTTGAGATATAGAACACAGTATTACTTCTAGTCCATACATAAGCCCGAGGTCGAGACTAGATAAAGCGATTTATTTTCTAGTCAAACACAGGCGCCTCACTTTGGGCAGCTGGTTGGTGGCAGGACATCGGCGCGACCAAATTGTTTATATCGTAAATCAGTTAATTATCGTACTTTAAACTTGTTTCAAATTGCATTTTGAAAGGAGTTGACTGTAAGCTTTAGATAATCCCTGGAAATTTATTTACTGAGAAATGTGATATTTGAGGAAACGAATTACTTGCCAATACAATTTTCATAAAAGTTGGAAAATTACATTGCTTATAATCATAACTAATAAAATCACGAAAATTAACAAATTCCTAAACTAGTTTCTACTTCGTTCTTTTCTTTACTTCTAAGGGTGGCTTTTAACTTTTAAGCAATAAAACCAAGATGGTTGCCATTTAGGTAATTTTCAAGTACAAAACGTTTTTCATAATGAAAAAAGATAATTATGAATTACATTTCATTACATGAACTGCGTATTTTTAAAACCGCAACCTTCATCAGTATTTATAATATAATCTGAACCCTAATATTCTAATGTAAGGTACAGTTCTTTACTGATTTGTCATAGCATAATAAATAAAATAATCTTCAAAGTTTTGTTCCCAAAGTTCTAATTTGTCAAATATTGACTATATGTTCATTATTCGAACGTGTCCCATTACCTTCGGCAATGAATGGAGTTCACAATCATTTGCATACTTGACACATACATGAGAATCAACATACCTGCGAGTTTGAATAACTATGATTTCTTATATAGGAATGTATAGGTTTTTAATTTGTACCAAATTTTGAATAGGTTAAAACAAACATTTATTAGTATTGACAAACAATACAATTTAACAAGTCTGTATCGTGGACATTTTAGAAATGAAGGTTGTTCATAATTGTTTCGACATCCTGAATAGTAATCACCCACTAACTAAATTGATACACATTGTCTCTTACGTAATTAAACACTATTAGTGAATTATACATTCACAGATGTTACAGTACAACCGGTCAAGTAAAAAGAAATAAATATTTCAGTATTTATCTAACAATTAATATTTGGTCAGTTATCCCGTGTCGGGCACAAGCAACAAATAAACAGAATCAATAAGTAGAGTTAACGAATTACATAAATTAATCGAAGAGAACGTATTTTCACTTGACCGATCGTGACATTTCCCGGCCAGTGCAGGTAGCGGTCGCGCCGGTGGTCGAACCCAAGCCCTGCATTTAAGAGGCGCCTGAGAGCTAACGGGCGCGTTTACGTTCACCGATTGAACCGCTTGAACTAGTCGCAGCAATTTGCATACGCGTCAACGGAGCGAGGAGGGTATCCGGTCGGTTTTTCGTTGAGTTCTCCGTTCCGTAGGGCATTCGTGTTACATTTGAGGCTAGACGCTGCCATCTCCTTATCAGGGAGTCAACTTCGTTTGCAGTTGCAGACCAACCGAAAACATCTCCCTGGATAGGACATGGACACGCGTTTCTCGGGAAGAGAAAGACGGAAGGGGAAAGAAATATGAAGGGGAGGAGAAAGATTGAAATCAAAACATCTTAGAGGGAGAGAGAGAGAGATAGAGTACTCAACGCTGCTCGAATCTTTATCTTTAAATCGATTCATTGGCTATTTTGCAACGTCGTAAAATGTTGGAACATTTTGTTACGTCGTAAAATGTTGGAACATTTTACTACGTTGTAAAATGTTGGAACAACTCACATAAAATTGAATATTAAATAATCAATTAATTTGTTTTATGGAAATTGAGATTTAATTGATTTCCTTCAGCAACAACTTCATTGATTTCGTGAAAATATTATCCATAATCCCGCGAAACCCGTTGATTGATCAAGTAAAGATTCTGACCTTTGGAGTACTCCGTTTTGCGTCTTGTTAATATTGTAGTTAACAAGAGATCTGTAAGAGAATTTTTCGGTTGCCAAGCCGCCAGATTGGCCATCGTGTGAAGGTGTTCAAAGAATAGAACCGCGAGGTTTCGTATAGGGGACTGAGGTATTTTTGAACGCTTATTTTCTACAGAAGTTCGTCCGGATGGAGTGGTGCGGAAGGGAACGGGGCGATGGTGATACTGGCGGCTCGACGGCCTTGTAGCGAGGTGTTGGATGATCACCTCCGAGGAGGCAAATGATACGGTTGGGACATATCACCAGATCATCTCATATTTTTGTACTTGGCGAGTGTTGGTGTGTGTTGGCTTGCATATGGGCGCTAGCGAGAAACTAGCTGTGTGTACCTTGATGCAAAACTATAGACCAAGAAATAAATTGCTATTTGTTTCATTTTGTCTGTTCATTTTTTACTCATTCTTATTCTTCTTTCCTATTGTGAAAATGAAAGAAATAATACAACTCGTACACTTTCAGATCTTGTTCCGAATAATTTTGATTATTCATAAGTATATTCCCTTATGATTGTAAGAAAGGTTGTTAAGAAACATATTAAAATGTAATAATACCAAATCAGATTATTTACAACGTGGTCACAGTAAATTGTGAGAAAACTTGATGCACAATGCACACTGAACAGTGTGCTACGTGAAGTGTTGAGAAACTGAATGTGTTCTATCAAAACTCGACATAGGTTTATACACATAGCATTATTTACTTAATTTCACGCAACATATAAAAAATTAAATTTACATCTTGACGTATAACGTTCATTGAAGAAGACTTTGCACACTTTCTATATCAAGAATATGACAATGGAACCGTGAAAGTATTGTGAAAACAACCTAAACATGGTGTTTAAGCAAATTCTAGTCGTAGTCTTAACAAAATCTTTAATTATTAATCATTTATACAATTAATAAAATCAACAAACTACGATTACATTTACAATTGCTCTACACACACATATAACAAAATGACTATACAGTCTTACACCTGTGCTTCTACATATTCTTGTACAAATATATCTCGCCTATTTTGTCTATTTCAATACATATGTGGGGAACACAATAATTAAATCAAAGTCTCTTCACATCCAATGGGACATGATGAGTCACTTTTATAAAATACATTGACACCGAACAGAAAGTACGCAAGAAAGTGTACTATTCCACGAACATATTAAAATGTGTGCTCATATTGTTGTACCACAGAAAGGAACCTTGAGGTACCCCACAACAAATCCGCACATGTGTTAATCTTCCGGTACCGCGACAAGTTAATAAGTATGTATAATGCTCATTACAGAGGGAATCAATCCATATGTTAGCACTTCCTTTCTCGTTCCACCATTACCCGCCAGTCACGCCTTCTCCGAATTCCCATGCTCGTTCTGAACCTCCGTCCCCGCGTTGGCCTTGCCCTCCGCCTTGCCGCTCTCGTCCACGTCGGGCGCGGGCGAGTCCAGCGCCTGCGTCATGTCCTGCGCGGTGAGCTGAATCTCGATCTGCGTCTCCGACAGCAGCGAGCCCTGCGGGAAGCTGGTGGAGCGCGGCAGGTAATCGGCGCCGGCCCCGCCGCCGAGGCCCGAGGAGCCGGAGGCGAGGGCGTAGGCGGCGTGCCGGTGGACGGCGCACGCCCGCGTGCGGACGTGGGCGTTGGCCGCGGCCACCGCCGCCGCCGCCGCCGCGCACGACGAGGTGGTGAGCGACGAGGAGTGCGAGGTGGAGGTGGCCGAGGCGGAGGAGGAGGCGGTGGAGGTGCAGGACGACCACAGGGCGTCCAGCGCGCTGCTCGATGGGTCCACGAACGCGCTCAGGGAGAGCATGCTGCCGCCGCCGCCGCCGCCGGCGTACGCCTTGCTGCTGCCCGCGCCCTGCGCCCACGCAACACGCACACTAGCATCCAGGCTTTTTGACTGATTGGAGATTCCGGCTGAGTCACCTGCTAGGGTCCCGCTTTAGAGCTGAATTAGTCCCGTAAGTATAGTGCATGTTGATAAGGAGGGAGGTGATGGTGGTGGTAGTGATTTTTCCTCGGCACTTAACTTTCCTTAGGCTTGCGGGGTTTTCCCAACTAGGTATCTCCAACCAGCATGGCACTACCCCAGCCAGAACAAGCTCTAAGCCCCTGACTGGTCTTCCGGAATATAGTGTAGGTAGTGGTAGTGTAGTGCGTGTAAGAGTAAGTCTGGTAGGAGGCGAGGACAGGACAAGAAAGGATAGGAAAATCGCGCGCGGTCCGCGGTGCATTTGCTACGGTACTGCTTTGGCATTCGCCTGGCATTGATCGGAGAAATCATGGAAAACTACCGATCAGAGCAGCCCCAAATAAATCCTACAATTTCCCTCCAGACAACGGCTGAATTCGACGTAGCTGGTGTCGAAAATTCTGCCACCGTCGGGACTCGAATCTTACCACCTCCCGTTCCGAGGCACTGCAGCGACATCAGTTGATATTCTGAGTCTGATGATATGTCGGCTACATTGATATGTTCATATACGCCTGGCGAAGGAAGAAGACAGATTGATTTTCATCCGCATTCAGTTTTCACCAAACACCATCAGATTACTGTAGACTCGCGCCCAGCCCCTATACTCGTACACGTATTAAAATTTCATTTGAATTTACACAATTCATATATGGGAAGAAATTGTGTAAGTAATCTTTGAAAATTTAGATTTATTAATAAATCTAAGTCGAAAAAATGACTTCCATTATTTCGACCTTGAACAATGTCAACAACACCTCTTCATCATTCCCACAAGATCATATACAAGGTGCGCGCTGCTGAAGTTCTACTCGTTAATCTCACTGCATACGTTTTATGAACAAAGCTTATAGCTATTTACTTAATAGATTTAAAATGCACAAAAATGCAGTGTGCCTGTTGCTAGCGTAATGAAACAAAAATTGCTCTCAAGTGAAACAACGTTTGATGAGACTGTGTGTATTGCACTTTTCTTTCTTTTCTCGTGAATTAAAGTTAGTTCTTAGAACTTGATATTTAACTTCTGACGCTGAATAAATAAGCACCCGCAACTAAGAGAGCAGAGATTAATGGTGGAACGGTTCACAAAAGTTCACTTCCGAGAAATAGAATTGATTAGTAGAACCTGAAGGACAGTGCCCTACGATTCCACTAACAAAGCGTAAATTATAGTGTAAAGCTTCGGTGTACTAATTATCTCAAGTCGAAATTAAGTAAATGAAAATTGATCACGGATTTACCGCTTCGGAACGATTCTTATCCATTCCCCAGGGCACGTATGGATCAATGAATCGCTAAGATCTCCATTACATCATTTCAAAAAAATCCTTTTGAGTTTGATTAAAGTAAATTAGCAATGGCAAAACAACAAAAGACAAGAGAACTAAATAATTATAAATGAACAATTTGTAAAAGTAGACGGAAAATTACATTGCATTAAACAATATATCTTTAAAACGGTAAGAGTATTCGATTAGAAAGATATTTGAACGTTCATCTAAGCTAAATTTTGTGGTTATTTTTCTTTAAATGAAAGTTAGTGGCCCCCAAATATGTAATCACTTGCTTTTATGAAATGGTTTTCTAGTAAAAACTTCTAAGTTTTATTAACATTGTATAATAAATGCTTATCATCAGACACTTGTTCATTACATCGTTTTCAAGTCCAACCAAACTACTTTACAATAGTTGTTGGTATTTATCATTTTGATGTGCAGGTTGATCCAAAGTGAAGATATTAATTGCAATTAATTTATCTCTAACATGAAGATGTGTGGTTATAGTTAGCGTAGGTTCTAGTTAACGAGGAGTTTTTTAAAGTTCGAAGATATACTGTTTAAAGTGCAAAGATAAGTACCTAGTGTGACTTAACACCCAGCAATTGCCTGATATATGTACATCGTTATAAAAAGTGATTATACAATTGATTGTTATTATACGAGATGAAGTACGTTTTGAAGTTAAAGTGGATAGCAGGATAACCTACAGTATACCATATTTTCGTAAATAGAAACATTTTCTATTGCATTTTCAGAAACACCATTTAAGAAAATAAATTAACAAAGATGGACAAATTTATTTGGATTATCGATTTGCATGACATTTAGAAGCGAAGTAGAAGAATCCTAACACAATACTGTAAAAGTACTGGTCTCCTATCATGCAGAGCATTCTATCAAAATTTTAAGCGTTCAGGTTTAATCTATGCGGTTGAATAACACATTTACATAGCCTCATGTAGTATTTTGACTGTGAACTGTGAGCATTTTTCGCTCGTATAATTGTGCCTGAAGTGGAAGATTTTGCACAAACTGTATGTAAGAATTTTGAATCAAGAATCACCTCGTAGTAGTTCCATAAGAATGTAGAATTTTTGTGTATCTCGTGACAATATAAAAAGAACCTTGTGGAATTTCCAAAACAAATCTGAACATACATTGATCCTATTATGCTAGAAGTAAGTTAAAATGAAAATAATGACCCAGGTATGTCACTATTCATTAACTTCAACTTTTCTGCAACCTTACGGATAAGGTCTTTGCCATCGTCAGTTGTATATATGATTGCATACCCCTCAACTACTAAATACGCTCTTAAATGATGATCTAATGAATACATAATAGCAGTTGTAATGATTAAGTGAATAATGATAAGGATGTGGAATAAAATGTAAAAGGAAGAGGATAACCTACATGGAGATCTACCCCCAAATTCCACATGGATTTGCTCTAATAAATATATGATAGCGGTTACAAGGTTTAAATGAATGATGAAGGAGAAATGGAATGAAATGTAAAGAAAAAGAGAGAACCGAAAAAAAATCTACCGAAGAAATTAGTCCCCCCCCCCCGAAAAAAACACCACTACATGAGTTTGCGGAAGACTGCACGTTCCACGGTGTTCAAAGCCGAACCCCCCCCCCCCAACTGCGTCAAACGCACGCGCTCGCCATTCCTCCAAACCGTTGAGTCGCCGGTGCACATACCATGTGGTCGCAGTGCCACCCGGAGAAGGAGGGCAGCGCGGCGTTGGCGCAGCGGGGCAGCCAGGAGGCGGCGGCGGCGGACGGGTGCGGGGCGCCGGCTGCCGTCCACGAGAGCACGGGGCGCGGCGAGGCGCGGGCGGCGGCGCCGGCGGCGGTGGAGGAGAGCGGGCGCTGCGGGGGCGGCAACGGCCCCGCCCCGTCCTCCACAAACGACGACGCCGGCAGCAGCCGCGATCCCGAGCGCCGCGCCACCGCCAGAGCGCGACGGTCGACGGCGTCCTGCGCACGCCCGCGCTCCGTTAGATTTCCTGGCGGCGCGGCCACTGCTACGGTCATTAGTCCTGTTCGTGTTCCGCTAGCTAAGATACGGCGCTGACCTATACGTCGGTTCATTGATTGATCAGTGATTCCTGTTGCGCCAACTGATAACCCCATAAGTGCAGCGAATGACTTT